GCTTTTACTACTGGAAGGGAATGATTGAAGTGGAGATTGTACCTTCCCTCACAAGGAAGCCTCCAAGACCAAAGTGTATATTAAAGAGCCTTTAAAATCTAGGCATCTAGACCAGAATTCAAAGTAATTCTCAAGCTTCTGTTCTGATTGTCTCGGATACATATATTAATAAACATCCTGCTAGTGATAATTTTAGAAATGAAGAGGGATACTAAGTTTTTGGCAAAAATATCCTTTCCTCTTCTCCCAAATTGGCTAATGGGTTTCCCCTAAGAAGTGGTTTGAATGTGCAGTAAAGATTGGTCTGCATTGAAATGGCTTCACTTGTACCATTCTTGCTTCCCTCTAACTCCCCAAAAACCTCTTTGGAGCAAGTGGGCAGAAAATAGAACCTGTCTCTCACACCACACTTTGGGATCACAAAGACAGGTTTATCTTCTTCACTAGAGTCGCCAAACCCCATTAGTAGAGCAAATGACTTTCTGGGGTAGGCCCTTCTGGCATGACCATAGTTGCCTCATCATTGTAATGTAGAAGTTATCATGCTGGGCAAGCCCAGCTTGGTTATTTGCAGTAAAAATGAAGTGTTGCCATCCATCAATGATTGCTTCAAGAGAATAAGACAATGCTGGTATGTGTGTGTATGTATGTGTGTATCTGTTTCCTTTCTTGGACATATCTCTTCAGTGATAGCTGCACATAGAGTCATCCTTATCTTCTTGGTATCAGTGATGTGTGAGTAATGTCAAGGGGCAGTAACTTCTTTCAGTTGAATTTTCAAAATCATGCTAAATGTTTGCTAACTAGGGTGACCTAGCCTGGCACCCATTTACTTCCAAGCAGATAGAATAAAATCATTGACTCCTCCTAGATGCTTTCTTTACCTCTAGCATAACCTGATGTAGTTGAAGAATAGAGCTTAACTGCTGTTGAAGTCCTTCCTCCTGACTTTCTGCTCTTGGCTGTAAAGAGAAGAGAAAGAGAAGCTTCTCTTACATCAGTGGCTGTTGCAATAGGTTTCCTCATTTGAGGATACGTTTATACATGGGCACTATTACTCATTGTAAATATCCTGTTGATGTGTGAAAAGCAGAATATTTTAACTAATATTACCTATAAAATGTATTCTTTATTAAAAGTCAAGATTCATGGTTTAAAATGCACAGTATGGTTAATGGTTCAAGAAGAGCATTTTAATTAAAAGAAAAAAAGAAAAAAATCAAATCAGCAAGCTTCAAAGTGAGTACAGTGAGTCAAATTCTTACTGTAGACATAGTTTGGTTTTAAGGTGAATGTGAAGAAGGTGTTTTTTTTTCCTTGACAACTTTACACTTCCGCTTTGGAAATTCTCTTAACTGACTAAATTTATTGTTCTTGAAAATTAATCAAAGGTCACATAGCTGCATTCTTTCAATAAAACAGCAAGTTTGACATCTTTATTGTTTTGCCCACTCCAATATGTGCAGTTCCTCTCTTTTGCAGTACCATCAATTCTAAAGAATAATGAAGTTTGATTTGTAGATACAAACAACAAAGTTATAGTCATAAGATACTAAGGGAATAGGGAATAGGAAAGATGAGAAGGAATACAGTAATACAGTAAATTACAGTAAGTAAGTAATATAGCCCTACTACATGGTCTGACATCCTAGGGCCGTGGTGAATCTATGGCACGCGTGCCACAGGTGGCACGCAGAGCCCTCTCTTTGGGCACGTGCGCCGTTGCCCCAGTCCTAGGCCTTCAGCTGGGTTTTATAAAACCTTTTCGCTTTAGGCCTCCACCGCCTTGTGCAAAAAAAAAAAAAGGTTCAATCAATCAATCAATTTCAACTTCTCACACAAAAAAAAAGCTCTCACAAAGTTGGAATTGATTGATTGAATTTTTTAGTCCCACCCAGTCTGCTGTTACCACCACAGCCACGCCCACCCAATGGGCCATGCCCACCCAATGAGCCACACCCACCCAATGGGCCACACCCATCCAGCACCTGATGATACATAAGTGGGGTTTGGGTTACAGTTTGGGCATTCGGTCTCTAAAAGGTTCGCCATCACTGTCCTAGGGAATAAGACAGTGTAGTGGGAATTAGTTGTTTAGCAGAGTTGGGGGGGGCGGGAAATCTGACCTTGTGTCTGGTTGTTTTGGCATGCAGTGCCCTATTAGCGTCGTCTTGAGGGAAGAAGTTGAAAGAGTTTATGTCCAGGATGTGAGCGGTCTGTAGATATTTTCACAGCCCTCTTTCTGGCTCGTGCAGTATACAGATCCTGAATGGAAGGTGGCTGGTAGCAGTAGTTTTTTCTTCAGTCCTAACTATTTGTTGAAATCTGTGTCTGTCTTGTTTGGTTGCTGTGCCAAACCAGGCAATTATACTGTATACTGACGGACTCGATAATTCCTCTGTTGAATTGTATCAGCAGCTCCTTGGGCAGTCTGAGCTTTCTGAGTTGGCACAGGAAGAACATTCTTTGTTGTGCTTTTTTGATGAAGTTTTCAATGTTAGGTGTCCATTTTAAGTCCCGAGATATAGAACCTAGAAACTTGAAGGTCTCTACTGTTGATACCATGTTGTCTAGTATTGTAAGAGGTAGTAGAATAGAAGGGCTTCTCCTAAAATCTACTATCATCTTTACAGTTTTGAGTGTGTTCAGTTCAAGATTGTTCTGGCTGCACCACAGGGCCAGTTGTTCAACTTCACATCTGTATGCAGATTCGCCATCATCTCAAATAAGATCAATCACTGTTGCATCATCTGCAAACTTCAGTACTTTAACAGAGGGATCCTTTGAGATGCAGTCGTTGGTATAGAGCAGCAGTGTCAAACTGCCGGCCCACGGGCCAGATGCGTCACACTAAAACCGCGCCCACCCCATTGCCGGCAATAGGAAAAAAGTTGTGAAACGTTGCGACACGTCACATGACATCTCGAGTTTTACACCCGTGGTATAGAGAGAAAAGAGTAATGGAGAGAGCATACAGCAGGGGGGGGGGCACCTGTGTTAATTTACAGCTATCTGATGTGATTTTGCCTAGTTTCACCTGCTGGTTTTCTATTTGTTAGAAAGCTTATGATCCACTTACAAATGTGGTCAGGCACATCTAGCTAAATCAGTTTAGTGAGAAGAATATCTGGAATGGTAATATTGAGTACCATGCTGAAATCTACAAAAAGGTCCTTGGAGATTCAATATGTTATAAGATGTAGTGCAGTGCCATGTTAACAGCATCTGCTGAGCTATTTGTTTGGTAGGCAAATTGCAAGGGGTCTAACAGCGGATCCATGATGGTTTTCAGGTGGGCCAGCATTAACCTTTCAAAGGTTTTCATAACTAGGGTGTCAGAACAACCGGTTTGTAGTCATTCAGCTCCTTGGTGGAGGGTCTCTTTGGCACTGGGATGATAGTAGAGCGTTTGAAGCAAGAAGGAACATAATACATCTCTAGTGATTTATTAAAGATGGGGGTGAAGATGGGGGGGGCAATTGCTCAGCACAAACTTTCAAGCAAGAAGGAGTTGTCTGAGCCTGGTGTTTTTCCAGGCTTTTGTCTGTGAAATAGACCTCGCACATCTTTTTCTGTGATCACCAGAGGTGGGGGGCCCAGAGGTTTGTAGGAAACTTGGCTGTTGTTGGTGTATCTGAGATATTTTATATTTAATGATAGAAATTCTTCAAAAGCAGCTTGTTAGTAAAATCAACATAAATTTGCCATCTTTTCAAATCCCTAACCTGATATATTTTGGGTACTGAATAATCATCCAAAATAGCTGAATAAAGATAATGTGACATTGTGGATCAGGGATAATTAAATGTCCTGGGTGTGTGGATATATTCTCTAGTTAGATATCATGGCAGAAAGCCCAGAGTTGGTTGTGCAAATGAAGCTGTAGAAGATACCTACTTGCTTTATTTACTATTGTTATCTGCTGCTACTGACTACTGTACTGGAATTCATCATCCAGCATGTGTAGTTGTCACAGGGCAGGGAGACAAATCCAAGTGTATGCTGCTCCAGAATAAGCTTTTTAAACCTTCAAGTTCTATATGTGAGTCTGCTGACTTTAAAATCTGAGAGATGATGATTCAACCAAGACAGCTTAAACCAAGATAATTATCTTAGAAGAAACTGGGACTGAAAGCTGAGAATTCCACTAAATTGTGATCTTTTGAGCTGTCTCGTGTTAAGTGACAATCACAGTATGTGTTGAGCAATGAAGACTTGTCATGCTCGCTTTTAGATCTGAATGAGAAAAAAAGTGCATGTACATTACCCTTCCTTCTTATGTTCCCTATATTGACAGAGAAGGTCTGAAAATAAATTATTCTTACATTGAGCTGAATGGGATTACAAGGCCCATCTATCTAGGAATTGATCCCTGTGCAGGAATCCCCATCAAGGGAAGCACTATGATGCTTGTGCTGAACAGGTGTACTAGGTCTTTTAAGACATCTCCTGCCAACAAGAAAGGTAAGAGAGGATGTGGATGGAGTAGGTGAGCACATCTGTCTCTCTGTCTTGCTTAAGGGGTTATCATGCCTGAATGTGACTTCTGTTTGCAAGCTCTAGAACAGTGGTGGCGAACCTATGGCACGGGTGCCAGAGGCGGCACTCAGAGCCCTCTCTGTGGGCATGCGCGCCGTCGCCCCAGTCCTAGGCCTTCAGCTGGGTTTTATAAAACCTTTTCGCTTTAGGCCTCCACCGCCATGTACAAAAAAAAAAAAGGTTCAATCAATCAGTCAATTTCAACTTCTTGCAGGAAAAAAAACATCTTGCAAAGTTGGAATTGATTGAACTTTTTAGTCCCACCCAGTCTGCTGTTACCACCGCAGCCACACCCATCCAATGGGCCACACCCACCCGGCACCCGACAATGCATAAGTGGGTTTTTGTTTGCAGGTTGGGCACTCGGTCTCTAAAAGGTTCGCCATCACTGCTCTAGAATGTGTGTTGGGATTCTGCTATGGCCTTGAGCTTCACTAGAGATTACCATTTTCCTCCCTTAGATGGCCTCTGCAAATGACACTCGACAGATGCCCAAGGATGCTGCTGACCAAAACTTTGATTATATGTTCAAGCTTTTAATCATTGGCAACAGCAGCATAGGCAAGACATCGTTTCTCTTCCGATATGCTGATGATTCCTTTACTTCAGACTTTGTTAGTACTGTTGGTATTGACTTCAAGGTGAAAACTGTCTACAGGAATGAAAAAAGAGTCAAGCTGCAGATTTGGGTAAGATATTTTACTGTTCATGGGAAGCAGAGTATAGGAACTATAACCTGAAGTTGGCACAGCTCTAGATCAGGCAACCAGTCTGTGCCTGGGCAGTTCAAGGACTGTAAATGGGCATACATTACTTTCTTTGGCTAAATCTTAAGAGGGAAAAGGAGCAGTAGAGAATAATGAAAACTTGCATTCTTAATTAAAGGAGGCCACAATCTAGTTAACCTGCTGTATTTCTGAGCTTTGGGGAGGTGTTGCATTGATATACAGGTGAAACT